ATATATATATATATATATATATAGTCATGTTTACCTGTGATTTTAGGTATTTGTAATACTACAACTAGTTGTACGTTGTAGTTATAAATAATAATTATTTTTATGTTTTTTTATGTGTTTTTGTTTGTTTAATTTTTATTTAGTAATCTTGTAAATATTTTATGTGCAATTATTACAAATATACTCTTTTATTCTTATATAGGTTGTGTTCCATTGGATTCTCCTTCAAAAGGTTGTAATGAGACATGCATAAATAAAATATATATTTTTTATATTTTTATTGACTATTTAGATTTTTGTATTTGTAAACTTATTTATAAGATAAAAAACATATATTTAAAAAAAATAACAAAAAAATTGATTAAATTCATGGCTAAGATGGACTGACCCATCTAAACTTATGATGGGCTAAGATGGGCCAATCCATCCTGACTCATAAATGGGTTCAAATGGGCCGGTCTGATAACGACTCATGGTACGGCATGGTTTGGCCCGGCTCATGGACCGATCAAGCTTAGCTCACATAAAATTAACCTGTGAGATGGGTTGAGCTGAGAATTGATTTTTCATGGACCAACCTGACACGATCCATCAAAACAATATGTGGGCCTGTCTGACCCATGTCCCATGTGGGCTTAAAGAGAATGGGCAAGATCAGATTGGGCCGGCCCATTTTTACATCTCTACTGACCAGAAGGCTTTGGTTGAAGACTCAAGATCTCGCTGGGTGCACTGTTTCTAGAGATAATTAGTGCCTTTAGGGTTCTTTTGAGCAACTTTTTTCGTGACTGAACAAATTATTTACAAGATATTAATGAACGGGAGTCTTTTGAAAGTCCACGTTCCTTACTCTGGATGCATGGGACAACAATTGGGTCATTTGGCAGTGCTAGACTTTTATCAATTTTGATTACAACCGGAGAGGAATTAAGTGTACGTCTGGTAGCAAGGAGGGAAACATGATGGATAGTTGGTTAGATTTGAAAGGATGTGAAGTGTGAAGGATGAAGAAGATTTGTAGCCATCCTTCCGTTATTTGATAGGAGGGAGAGATAATAGAAAAGATAAATAAACAATAATAGTTTTTTGTTTAATTACTATATTGTTTATTTCACTATTTGATAACATTATTTTAAGAGTAAAATAGTCTTTTCAGTATGGATTTTTTTTTATAGATTTAATAGTGGGGTTAAAATGTTTGTTTCGTTTCTCTATCTTCCTTTCCTCCTTCCAAACAATCGAGTGATTACCCCAAATAAATCAAATAAAATGCTTAAATTCAAATACCATAATAAAAATAAATCAAATAATTGAATACAAACAATCAATTAGGGCTAAAAGGTAAGTAAATATGTATAATATTATGAGAAAAAACAAGCATATTACATAAAATAAAAATTAACCATATATAAAATATACCCCAAAATAACCCATAAGGGCATATATGGTAATATATATGCTTAACTTAGTATCTTTGTAATATTCTATAATAATTGATATTTTTAAAATTAGAACCTCAATAATAAGAATTTTTTTAAATGAGAAATAATTAGTAAGGGCAAACTTGTTTTTTTTCCCCTCAAAAAAGGACCTTAAGGTACGCAAAAAAAAATTCTCTTAATATTACGGTACCAATTTAATATTATAAAAAACACAAATTACTAAAAACAGATTTTAATATAACACAAGATATCAAAATGGAAATTTCCACATGAAAAAACATGCCCTCACCTATGACTATGGAGAAAGCCCCACCCTGAATGACCAAAGCGCAACAAAGAACAACTTATAGACCAAGCGCTTGAATATTAGCAACTAAAAAACAAAAAAGAAGAAGCTAAACGGAAAAATGGGAGAAGGAAAAAGCACTTTTCCACATAGAGTGCGGAAGGCAAAAGGTCCCACATAAAATGAATAGGATAGTTCACAGTAGAGAGTTCACTCCCTCCAAGTGCTTCCCAAGTTCTTGTTTAGCAAGTTTTGCCACTTTCTCTGAAGTAGTCGTGTCCAATATTTAAGGGGGGTTTTTTTTTTCCTTTATTTTTATTTTTATTTTTTTTTATAAAATAAATTAATATTTTGGCCAATTATTCTCTCTGGTCAGTCAATACTTACGAAACAAGGGGAAACTGAATTCCTCATCATTGCAAGCATATGGGCTAGTGTAGTGCTCCAATCCAAATTCTAGACTATTCCTTCATTTTTATAACTCTATTTCAGTTCTAGAATTCTGGAATCTTCTTACTACATTGTTGGGTTTCTTATCCATATTTTAGATAAATCCATGACATGAATTTAGTTAATTATTTGTTTATTTTTTATGGATTCTAGAGTATTCCTGTTGTTTTTGGTAATTGCACGCTTCTAGCTTATCCCCTTTGGCCCCTGTTGTTTTTGGTAATGTTTCTTTTATTAAGATTATAATTTCTATCTACGATTGTTAACATTTTACTTATACTTGAAATTTATTTAGTCTATGCTAACAGCTGAAATTTTATTTTATTTTTTATTTTGTACTTAATCCCGACTAATTAATCACCTAAATTTTCATTTCTAAGTGTGATTTAGGTATAAATTTTGTCCAGTAGAAAATAAGTGATCCAATTGTCATATTGCTACAATTTATCAAGTAAATTTGAGGTGTAATAGAATTCATAAATCAAGATTGAGAATTTTATACCGTATTTGGAATTGATCCCGTTTTTATTTTTTACGTTTTTTGAAAAAGAAAAAATAAAAACGTTTTTAAAATGATATTTGGCGCAATAAAAAAAAATAAAAATGAAAACGATTTTTTAGTTTAGTGTAAAATGATAGATAAATAAAAAATAGCTTTTAATCGTTTTTCATTTTTTATTTTCGTCATTAATAGGTTTTTTACACTGAAAATAATCTTTTGATAAAACTACTAAACACATTTTCAAAAATTATTTTTGTCTGAGATTGAAAACGTTTTTATTTTTATTTTCATACAAAAAATAAAATCATTTTAAAATAAATTCCAAACGCGTCCTAATTTATGGCTTACAATATAGTACACAATCTAAATATTTATTTCTTTTCAGTTTTACCCCTCTACGCGTTTGATGTTCTTATCTTCATTTTATTTAATTCTTTTTGAGGAAATTGACGTTCTTGGTACCATGATGTCTTTATTTTCTCCATTCTTATAAAAAGGAATCTCGTTGCTGACGTGTCAGCCAATAATAAGCTAACCTCATGTAACTTTGTAACTAACTTTCCCTGCGGGTCCTTATGTCGTCAACGACCAAAGAGACTCACTTGTGAGGGAATCAATGACCGTCAACTCTCAACAAAATATGTTCGCGCCACACAGAGAGTGAGGGAGAAACAGCGAAAAGAGAGAACTCGAAATTGACCAGCAATAGCACGGTTCACTCTGTGCTTCTATGTTTTCTCACTATAAATACCAATCACCCATTAGCATTCGATTCATCATCAAAGCATTTGTCATCTGTTTCAGCATTCATTTTTCGAGGACAGTCAAATTCTTCTCTCTCTCTTTTCTCCCTCTCTCTCTTAATTTTCCGATCAGTTCGTACTTGACATCTTTCTCAGTCTCGGTTTCGAGGTGAAAAATTAGTTGAATTGTTTAAACAGTACTTGGTTGATAGAAAATATGATCATGATCAGTAGTGTTCTTTTGTTTATTGGCGTGTGTGTGTGTTTGTGATTCTGGTTTTTCTGCACAGGCATTATGATTTTTGTGCTGTTACCGTAGCAAGTGAAGAAATGGAAAAAAAAAAAATTGTTTGAATAAACTTCACCAGCAAGGAAAGACTTAAAAAGGGAACTTACAAAAATTTTCAACTCGTTTAATTTTTTTTTCTATTTCTATTCTTTTCTTTCCATTAGTTGTCTCAATTTTCTTGAAGATGATCACAATTTGAAGTGTTTTTTTTTTCCGATTTGTTCTCTTTGTTGGACTGTGTATGTTTTTACCGATCATAAAGGAGTTCTCATGTACATATGTTATGGTTTGTAGAATTCCAAATTGTTTAATTGTATTAATGAACTTCTGGGAACAAAAAATTTCTTTATCGTTCATTTTACGCTATCTTACATGTATATAATAATTGTGTACTTCCTGTTGAGATAAATGCGATATTTTTCAACTAATTCCATAAAAAAACTTTGTTTTGCATTGTAATTTGAATGATATATTTGTGCTAAGGTAGATTAAACTGATCAATTTTCACTATTTATGTTCCTTGGTGAGTAAGAAATGTTAGAGTGATATATAGATCAGTTAGAAGGATACAACTCCAGCTAGATAGTAAAATTTGAACTTCATAATTGACTTAGTAGGAAATATGTGTCGTCTAAAACTAGGATTTGACAACAAATTTCTAAATGGATTATGGGTTTTGTTTATATAGGGATAATTTTCTAGATTCTGTGAATTTGAGATCTGATGGCATATGCATGAAAATCGTCACCTTTAATTGCAAATTGTCATTTATCGTTATAATTTACATGAAAATAGATAACTCAACTTTTCAGTTGCTTAATAGTATTTGTATGTTGAAACAGGGTTTTAACTTAGTATTGCAGCATGGCAAAGACAATTCAGTTGTATGGATTCTCTTGTGTTGAGGACCAGGAGGAGGTGAAGAGGCATCTGGAGTTATACACTGGAGAAGGGACTGTTTGTTCTGTTGAGTTCGCGCAGTGCAAGAGTGGTTCAAGGGCACATGCCAAGGTTGAGTTCGTAGACTCTGAGAGCGCCGAAATCCTAAAATCCCTGGCGGATGACGACCGACGCTTTTGGTATGGTGACTCTTATCTAAAAGCTCGAGATTGGAGCACTGAAGTTGTACGAAAGCCAGAGGTCTTCCTGTGCAGCATGGATGATGTAACGCTGCACTTCGGATGTCAGGTTTTGAAGGAGAAGTTTTCTGTGCTTTGGGAAAGAGAGAATGTCTGTGTTAAATTTGGAGAGGGACAGAGGAAGCTCTACTTCTTTTTGTCTTATGGTTCTGTTGATTACAAGCTAGAGATCTCCTATGAGAACATTTGGCAGATTAAGCTACACCGGATGCACGGAGAAACTTCAAAGTTTCTTCTCCTTCAGGTATGCTTTCTAAAATTCAAATAGTATTTAATTTCTCCATTTTTCGGCTATGAATAACATTCTATGTTTCGTAGTAAGGATTACATAGGAAATTCTTTCTTGAGCATATTGAAAATAGGATTATTTTCTGACGTCTTCTGAATTTTGCGAATTGAGACACCAAAAAAAAAAACTCATAGATTTTCTGTCTTAACCATCTCCATGCTAATAAGTTAAGCAGTTCTTAAACTTCATTTTGTTTCTTGAAGTTTGTTCTCTGTTGGACTTCTCACGCTTTATTTACCCAAGATTAGGAATCCACCTATATCTTCTGCATGTATAGAAGTATCCGTTCTGTTCTCAAAACCACTGAATGCTTGTTTTTCTGTTTGTTAATGTTATCAATCTCCTACTTCATATTTCTTAAGTCAACATTACGGTTTAGACCAAAAGTAAATAGTATCTGTGATATGTCTTCAGCAAAACGTTTGCATTTCCTCTATACGGCAATATAACTACAATGAGTTTGTATAATTTTATTTTGGCACTTGGATGAAATAGTTAACAGTTTCTTTCCCCTTTCCGTTGCTAGTTACTAGGAGCCCCTCGGATTTTTCAGAAAGTCAATAGATGCTGGGAAAGGGATGTTGATTTCACTCCATCATGTTGCATTGGGCAATCTTCTGCTCTCTGCTTGGAGATTCCAAACTGGCGCCAACTTCCAAACTTGCGCGATGTTTTTGTCTACTACAAAGAAGACGAAGGTCAATTCTCTCTGCAACAAGGTTGTCCTTTCTCTTCTAGTTCAGACCTTGTTCCCATGGTGGTTCCTCCTAAAGGAATCATCTTGCCGTACAAAATACTATTCAAAGTAAATTCCTTGGTTCAACATGGATGTCTTCCTGCTGAAGTACTTGATCTCAACTTTTTCCGGTTAGTCGACCCGAGTAGAATTCCTCTTGAATGTATAGAGTCTGCTCTAGACAAACTGTATCACTTAAAAGATTGCTGCTACGATCCCCTGAGATGGCTTAAAAAGCAATATATAAAGTACAACACAAGTGGGCAGATTCCGAAAATGCCCACAATTGCTTTAGAAGACGGCTTGGTGTATGTACATCGGGTTCAGGTAACGCCAACCAAAGTATACTTCTGTGGCCCTGAGATCAATCTCTCCAACCGCGTCTTGCGCAACTACCCCAAGGACATCGACAATTTTCTTCGCGTTTCTTTTGTTGATGAGAACTTGGATAAGTTATCTTCAACGGATTTATGTGCACGCGGAAGTTCTGCGAATGGAAAAAGGCGAACGCGACTCTATGACAGGATACTTTTTACTCTAAGAAATGGCATACTCATTGGCGACAAGAAGTTCGAGTTTCTTGCGTTTTCATCGAGTCAGTTGAAAGAGGGTTCCCTTTGGATGTTTGCTTCAAGAGATGGACTTACTGCCGCAGATATCAGAAATTGGATGGGTGATTTTCATGACATTAAAAATGTGGCAAGATATGCGGCTAGGCTAGGTCAATCTTTTGGCTCTTCCCACGAAACTTTTAGAGTTGGAAGGGACGAAGTTGAGCTAATTCCTGACATAGAAGTTAAAAGGGATGGGAAGAATTATTGTTTCTCTGACGGAATTGGCAAAATATCCGAAGATTTTGCCAAAGAGGTGGCCAAAAAATGTGGTCTAAACAGGTATACTCCATCAGCCTTTCAGATTCGTTATGGCGGCTATAAAGGTGTTGTGGCCGTTGATCCCACATCTTCAATGAAATTGTCATTGAGAAAAAAGAGCATGTGCAAGTACAAGTCAAAGAACAACAAGCTAGATGTTTTGGCATGGAGCAAGTACCAGCCGTGCTTCCTGAACCGGGAGTTGATTACTCTTTTGTCAACTCTTGGAGTCCGAGATTGCGTTTTTGAAAAGAAGCAAAAGGAGACTATAAATCGCCTGGACTCTATCTTAACTGATTCTTTAAGAGCACAAGATGAATTGAAGATGATGTTTCCAAGAGAGATCTCAAACATTCTGAAGGAAATGCTCATGTGTGGATATGAGCCAGATGAGGAGCCATTTCTCGCAATGATGCTGCAAACACTGCATGCGTCAAAGCTGCTGGAATTGCGAACCAAAACAAGGATACATGTGCCCAATGGAAGACTTATGATGGGATGTTTAGATGAAACTGGGACACTCGAATACGGTCAAGTGTTTGTGCAGTGTTCTCGTCCCCAGCTCTTTGATGATTCTTCTCTAGTCTTCAACAACTACAGTTCAAGCTCTGACAAGTTTGTTGTTAAGGGAAAAGTGGTTGTAGCTAAAAATCCTTGTCTACATCCAGGAGATGTGAGGGTCCTTAGGGCGGTGGATGTTCCAGAATTGCATCACATGGTAGATTGCGTCGTTTTTCCACAGAAGGGAATGAGGTAAAAATGTCATGTTTTCTACTTTGTTGGTACATAAATTGATCATTCCTGCACTTTATGTAATCTTCTTACCATGAGTTGCTATACTCTCTATTTTGAAATTTTGACTGACTAAGCTTTTTAATTTTCTTAGGCCTCACACCGATGAATGCTCAGGGAGTGATTTGGACGGAGATACTTACTTCGTCTGTTGGGACCGTAAGCTTATTCCTCCTCAGCGATGTAAAGCAATGGATTATACCGCAGCACCAAGAATAGCGTTGGACCATGAGGTCACAATGGAGGTATTACTCTTTTCATCAATAACTTGACAAGCATACCTGAAACACATCTTTTTGTCCACTCATGTGAAAAGTAGGAAAAGTAGGTACAAAATGGATTCTAACTAATCGTATACTTTTCTCAAAATCTGTCATTTAATGTGGTTCCAGTTTTATCTTTGAATGACATATTTTGATTGTAAATGTTTGACAATTCTGATAGAGTTTTCTTGTAATTATCACTTTTTTTTTTTCTAATATATATATATTTTTCATATTGATGAATATTTTGTGTAAAATGTTTACACTTTGAAGACTTTCTCCACTTTCCCCGCTGTCTAGTTCATAACTGAATGATTCTGCTTGATCTACAGGAAATAAAGGAGTACTTTGCTGACTACATAGTCAATGACAACGTGGGAATTATTTCGAATGCTCATAAGGTTTTTGCAGACAGAGAACCAGAAAAGGCTTGGAGCAAACGATGTCTTGAGCTAGCAAAGCTATCCTCAATTGCCGTGGATTATCCAAAAACAGGTGTGGCCGCAATAATCCCAGGTCATCTGCGTGCAAAAGAGTACCCGGACTTCATGGAAAAGACTGACAAACCAACCTACGAGTCAAAGCGTATCATTGGAAAGCTATTTCGACAGGTGAAGGATGTCAAAGAACATTCAAGTTCGATAAAATTCTTCACTAAGGAAGTGGCTAGTGAGTGTTACGACTATGACATGGAGGTGGAAGGATTTGAGGATTACGTCGAGGAAGCTTTTGAACTCAAATCCAATTACGATGACAAGTTGGGAAATGTCATGAATTACTATGGAATCAAGACTGAAGCTGAATTGCTCAGCGGCAATGTCCTCAAAAAGTCGAGGTATTTTGACAAGAAAAGAGACTTGGAATCAACAAATTATGCAGTAAAGGCACTGATCAAAGAAGCTAGGACTTGGTTCAA